AGTTTATTTCATGTGGGTACAAAATTTCAAATTTCAAAGATGTCCCTTGGCTTTCCTAGAAGCATCTGCTCTACAGAGAACTAGTTGTGCACTAAGGTGACAGTAAGGGATCAGGTCACTACATACAGAATGGTAAACCTCCACACACCAGATGTCAGAAAGACCCACACGTGTCCCAGATCCTGCCTCCTTCAGTATCATGTAGCCAACAAAGCTAATGCTGTCGTTACATCAACAGTGTGGGTATTAGGATGATGTGAACACATGTACTAGCCAGGTCAACTGAGCCTAACCCGACTTCATTAACCTCTACCCAATCTCCTCCTGTCAGTTTCCATTCTTGACCCATAGAATGCATTTTCCATGAAACTTTCCACTATTGGGCTAGACTTGCACAAGTCTCTAAGGAAATGGTTATTAGTTTAAATCATAATTTCTAGATGACATAAATAATAAGAATAAGCTGTCCCAATAAAAGAATCTAGACTTGCCGACTGTCAGGATAAAAATACCATACATCCATGGACTTATCAATCAGTAAAGCCTTGGCGCAAGGCTGCTATTGGGCAAGCTGAAAGTATATTAGCGGCTCCAACCAACGACATATGTGTTAGGCAAAACACGATGCCAGTCCTGATAGAATTACACTTCATTAGGCACAAGGTCTGGCAAATCAATTACGCCTCCTTACAAAAAAAAAATAAGCCGACAAAAAAAATACAAGGCATTTCCCTGCTGTCTCCAGACTTATTATCCAAGAGCAAGCCGTCGCCTATACCTAGTCCACCCTCTTTAAATACACACACACTGTCTACAGTACCAATGATAAAACAAAACACACTTCAATCATATCCTAAAACATGTAATCTCAAATATGTAGATGAACAATACTCAGGTGACGAGGATGTGATTTACAGGGAAATGCTTGACAGTGGAAGCTGCTGTTTATGTTTATATATTAATAACAGAAGTAAAAGAGGTATGTAAAGTGTTATCTTCAAGAGGTTACACAGTGGGGCCATGAACAATAACATTCTTCTCTTTTTCACTGTTCAATATGTATAACCCTGATGGCTCTCTTTGTAACAGGAATATTGGGTTAAAAATGCAGCCTAGTTCAACTGACTGATAAGGTTGGTGGGTTTGTTTGTTGTTTAACGCCGCACTCAGCCATATTCCATCTATGTGACGGCAGTCTGTAAATAATCGAGTCCTGACCTGACAATCCAGTGATTAATATCATGAGCATCGATCCACGAAATTGGGATCAAGGACATGCATCAACCAAGTCAGCGAGCCTGACCACCCGATCCCATCAGTCACCTCTTACTGCAAGTATAGTCGCCTTTTTCAGCAAGCATGGGGTGCTGAAGACCTATTCTTCCAGGATCCGGATCTTCAAGGGTCAACTGATCAGGTCAAACCTTTTTCATGTTTGTAAAAAATCTTAATTGGTAGATGGCGAAAGAGACACATTAAAAAAGAGAGTTGTTTTGTTTATTGTTCTTCAAAACGTTATTTGACTATGTTGCCATACGAGCAGTGTTAGTTCATTTGTCTGGTCGGTCTTGCAGTAAAACTATTCATGGACAAGTTTTTGTTACTTTGCATTCTGTGGAATTAGAAAAATAGTGCTTTTCAAATTAATTTTTTTCCATTTTCATTATGAAAACCACTTAAAATTTCTTGCCTAATGTATCTAGCACTGGGTGGCACCGTGGCCAACAAGAGAATCCTTTAAAATAAACTAATTATCAGCCTGACACAAAATGTTACTTTTATGTAACAAGTAATCTTCTTGAGCACCTGAACACATAATCGGACAAAATGACCTGGACTTGTTTTGTCTCTTTCCTAATTACTCTGCGTGTGTATGTGTGTGTGTTTGGATCAGTGCATTTTCCTCATAAAAACACACCAAGAGCCATCTACAGTGTAAACAGACAGCATACACTTTATAAACACTGCAATGTTATCTCTGCATAAACATGGCAGAACATCATAGTGAGGGCTATTCTTACAAGATTACCAGCCCTGAACATGAATCAATATAGGTTTAGGGGCAAGAGTAAAAGGTGAACAATGCCCTACCTACTGTTATCCTTACTTGCCCCCAAAACAAAATATCTGCCTATCCACCCATCAAAATGATATCTATACTATAATAGAATGCCATTAAAACTATACCAGCCCTGAACCTGTATTCTGTTCAACTGATAATGTTGAAAGGTGAGTCAGACAGTTTTATCAGAGTAGGAGACAGGGAGGGGAGGATTACATAAGAGAGATTCCATTAGTTTGACATACACTTGATGCACTGGTCATCCACGCTACAACCTTCATTAAACTCCTATTAAAACTCAGACGCTCTACAAGTCAGCCAGAGAGCCTTATCTCAGGAACTGATTTGAACTGAGCCAATTGGCATTCCATTAATGTAAATCTTTTCACTTGGCTGGCAAAATTGAACGAGTATTCACTGGAAATTTAACAAAGTCATTAGGAATAACCTTCATCTCATTGATAAGATAGCCCAGACCAATTTCATCTTCTTTAAGCATCGTAAGAACAAACAAAACATGAAAGCAATGAAAGTCACGTCTGCTCAAGATTGTCCTTATCAAATTGTATGAAACTTTCAGGAAATGGGCAGATCGTGGAACCAGCCTGTTCATAGCACGATATGATGACAACAATATCATCAGTGACCCCGCCAAGGTCAAGGCACCAGGATCTCGACTGATAACGCAGACCCACCCAACAGGAGGAGAGACTTCCTGGGAAGGAAACATCTGCTGTCTTAGCATCTTCAAGCATGTTACTTGTATGTATACAACACAGTTTGTTCTAACCGCGTTAGAATAGGTCTTCAGCAACCCATGCTTGTTGTAAGAGGCGACTAACAGGATCGGGTGGTCAGACTCGCTGACTGGGTTGATGCATGTCATCGATCCCAATTGCAAGGATCAATGCTTATGATATCAATCGCTGGATTGTCTGGTCCAGACTCAAGTCTAGCTATGTGGACAGTCAGGACTCTAGTCTCTTATAGGGACAACTTTGTTCTTATTAATTTTATAATCTACAAATTATGATTTGAATTAATTATTATTGCCTTAAAGACTTGTGTAAGTCTACCCAGCAACCTATGCTGGTTGTTCAGTTAATGGAATGAGTAGTCTGCCTAGGAGTAATCTTGTGATGTTTCATTGAGTGGGACTCAATATTTTTTAAAATTAAATGATATTTAAGTTATTTCAACAGGAACTTAACTGTTGACATGATTTCAGTATCAAATATCCACCTTTTTCAACATTTACTTGCTCATATCAGAACTATTCTAAACAGGTTCACACTACATAGCAATATTAACACTATCAGCTATCAAAAGCAATGTAAACCATATCCTGTGATAGGGGCTTCTGACACGTCTAATCCTAACTCTCAACTGAAGGGCATTCATTGCCAGCATTTCATAAACAAACTGTGGGCAGAGAGGTTATATCACTACGCCTTCGCTGATATAGAGAAATCGTGAAATGAAATGAAATATTTGGGTGTTCTTGTCTATGTTATCCTAGAGTGTACAGTGGGTGGCAGTGTTATGTTATATGTCATCAGGCAACAAGGCAGACCAATTACACCACTTCTCACCCACACACGTGTAGTGACAGCCTGTGATCTACAACGTGCAGCTCAAGGCACTCACCCACACACAGGCAGGGTGTCGGTGAGGGTGATGAGGATGGGGACTGGGGGCAGTGACAGCTCGAGGCACCCCACCCACACACGTGTAGGGACAGCCTGTGATCTACAAAGTGCAGCTCAAGGCGCCCCACCCACACACAGTTGGGGTGTCGGTGAGGGTGATGAGGACGGGGACTGGGGGTAGCGACAGCTCAAGGCACCCCACCCCCACACACAGTCAGGGTGTCGGTGAGGGTGATGAGGATGGGGACTGGGGGCAGTGACAGCTCAAGGCACACCCCCCCCCCCCCGCACACACGAACAGTCGGGTGTCGGTGAGGGTGATGAGGATGGGGACTGGGGGCAGTGACAGCCTGTGCTGGAAGGCAGGGGCAACAAGTGAGATCACCTTACAGGAACTGGACAGCAATTATCATAATATCAGTTAAACCATAAATGTGTTGGGTTTTTTCTTTTTCTTCTGACAACTTTTCACTTCTCTTCGGGGCTATAGTAATAACCTGCTTTCCATACTACAGATGTCGGCCATCTTATCTACTGTTTTATTCATAGCTGACATTTTCTTTTCCATCTTATACAGTGACCTACTCAGCATTTCTACTTATCTTTGAAACATATTTTTTTACAGATCTTATTGACAAAGTGAGCGATTATTTACAGACAGCCGTCATATAGCTAGAATATTGCTGAGTGTGGTGTTAAACAACAAAGAAAACAAACAAAATTTAATTGGGAACTGGAGATACTGTCTGCTAGAGGATGAATCTATACTGAGGATGACATGCAAATGACATTGCCTGAATGCAGGGAATGATAACACACCTTGTAGCCACCTAATCCACGTATTAGTCCCAACTTTTGAAAAGCATTGGCTACTTGAGACATATTCTCCATGACCCAAGAGTAAAAAAACTCATGGGTTTTTAGAAATTTTGTATTTGTTCAGCTCCACATGCAGAATTCCAGCAATATGATTTCTGTAATAATATAATCTGGAACACACAAACCAGTGGTTGATATTATGAGCATGGTCCACACCATCAGAGAAAGATGACCAACAATCATTCAAGTCACCGAACCAGACGACCAGGGCCCAATTTGACAAAGCGATCTTAGCACTGCGACTTTTGTAAGCCTATGTTAAAGTATGGGAGTTACAATCTTAGTGCTAAGATCGCTTTGTGCAAGTGGGCCCTGATCTATTCCATTGCCATTTACAACAAGCATCGGTTTCTGTTCTAACCCTGAATCTGCAAGGGGTGGATACTAAGGTATGACTTGAAGCAACATACCTCTGAGGTTCTTTATGAAGTCTTCCAGTTTCATCTTGCGGTCATGTTTAATGTTGGAATTGTGGAGGTCAGTGTTGAGCATGATGATGGCGAAGGCCAGGAGGAAGATAGTGTCCGTGTTCTTGAAGTTCTTGATTTGGTCCGGGTTACAAACACAGTATCGGTCTGCAAACGCCTGCAACAAAACACAGTAGAGTTTCAGCTTAATGGCTGAATAGGCTTGAGTGAGTGAGTGAGTGAGTATGGTTTAATGCCGCTTTTAGCAAAATTCCAGCAACATCATGGCGGGGGACGCCAGAAATTGGCTTCATACATTGTTGGGAATCAAACCTTGGTTTTCGGCGTGATAAGCGAACGCTTTAACCACTAGGCTACCCGATCGCCCCGAATAGACTTGAACATGAACTGTTAGACAATCATATTTCACTAGAATGTTTGTGTGACTTTGTTATAAACAAACTAGCTGTTCTATTGTTTGTTTGTTGTTTAACGCCACACTCAGCAATATTCCAGCTATATGACGGCGGTTTGTAAATAATCAAGTCTGGACTAGACAATCCAGTGATTGATATCATGAGCATCGATCCACGCAATTGGGATACGATGACATGCATCAACCAAGTCAGCGAGCCTGACCACCCGATCCCGTAAGGCACCTCTTACGACAAGCATCGTTACCTTTTAGGGCAAGCATGGGTTGCTGAAGACCTATTCTCTATCCGGACATTAGAGGAAGAATATACACAAGACTTAATGTTGGAAGACCTATTATACCCTGGATTTTCTAGGTTAAGCTGTGATAAATGGTATTTCTATTTTGCATCTGCAGTGACTAGGGTTTCAAAAAAAAATTCAAACTTTTGGGACGACGATATTATCTAATTTGTATGTACTACTCTCTGCTCATTATACGTCAAAGAAATATCCCCTGATGAAGATTTTAATAAACAGGTAATCTGCTAAAGCATGTATATCTACATGAATCTTTGCACGGGTTGACACATCTATACACAACAGTAACTTGTAATCCTTATCCTGACACAGGAATATGTACCTGTACAAAAACAATATCTAAACATTTGGCCTCGTAGGATACACGGGACAATGTTATTTTTCTACAGCTATGTATTTCAGCCTTGTGGGATGATACATGGGACAATATTTTAGGGCACCTATTTTTTTTTCCATTTTTTGTACAGCTACATATCATGGCAGTCCAGAATCCAGGAATTGGTTTCTGTCTTGCTCTGTCTGCCAAGCTGTTCAAGTCTCAAGTCCAAGAATTCAGACTATTTCAAAACATGCCTGTACTCCTCACAAATGATCAACAGCAAGTTTTTCCTCTACAAAAAGCATTCCACGAGGTCTCCCTATATAATTACCCATCTCAAGCCACAAGATAACCCAGCCCAAAACCTATTTCTCATTTCTTGAACATGCCACCCAAAGATTTGACTGTTCTTGTAGGAGACATTCCCAGGATTTGGGCTCATATTTTGTTGTTTTGCGATAATACAAACAGCAGCTGGGTCAGCCTATCTGGCCACTGGAGTTCAAAGGTGCCTTTTTTCATAAAAAAATAGAGGTCCTAACTCCCTGACAAAGAGATGCTAACAGTAATGCTTTTTGCAGGTCCTTGAAGAAGAAAATTCTCCCTCGCATGTTTGCTATCACCGAAACAGAGAGCGAAACAAAGCACCTGTTTTGGACAGAGATTGCACAGACCACCAAGGAGCGTTTCTGGACATATTTCCTTTCTAAAATAGCATGATGTTGTTTTGCATTGTAAAATAGGAACTATTGTGTAAATAATGTAAAACCTATTATAAAGATGTTTTTTCCGGGTTTAAACAAAATATATGTTTAGTTTCACACAATTTCTTTTTGAAAACTGTCTTTAAAGCTTAGCACAGCTTCCCTCTAGGAAAACAAGGAAATATTTCAAAATAAATAAATAAATAACACGTAACCATACAACAAAGGCAATTACCAAAGTATCTTGCTTATATTTACCATGTTTAATCAACTGTAGCTTTGTGAGACATCAACTATTCTACTAAACTGATCAGGAAACGGTTCATTATCAAGATGTGCCTTGAAGCAAGCATGACTTCTATGGTAATGCACAGGAAATGATCATGTGTAAATAATTAGCACTTTTTTGTCGACATGTTGAATAAGTTATGAGGATGACCAATCATCTGCTTTTGGTAATTTTCCATGTAGCGTAAGAATGGGAATGGACAGTGGGAGCGCGGGGACGAGGGCTTCAATAAATGTTTCATTACCTCCATCAATCTCTCTATCTTCTGAGCTTCACCCTGGGAACAAAACAGATTTAATCACGAGATCAACACTTTGTAATGCAACATGTCATGTCAATTTCCTCCGTCAATTTCACTTTTTCAACAGCAAGTTGTGCAACATGCAAGCTCTTTACTAAAGACATAACATTGAATTTCTTCAATAATTATGACTTTTGTTATTCATCTGTTACAAATATTATGGCAAAATGATATTATTATAATCATTATTGATATGGAAACGCTACACCTTCTAAATATATAAATATCACATTTGTCATTTTATATCAACTTATTGATAGGTTTATGGAAGGGTAAGAATGGTATAAAAAAATTTGTCTTACAAGTTATCACATCCTAATTCAGTTTAAGCTGAGTTTCATATGGATTGTGTATAGGTCTAGTGACCAACAACAAAAAGGATGAACTATATAGCTATCAAAAAATAAGACAGGTCAATGATTTGTTTGTTTGTTGCTGTTTAACGCCTCACTCAGCAATATTCCAGCTATATGACGGCGGTCTGTAAATAATTGAGTCTGGACCAAACAATCCAGTGATTGACATCATGAGCACTGATCCATGCAATAGGGATACGATGACATGCATCAACCAAGTCAGCGAGCCTGACCACCCAATCCTGTTAGTCTCCTCTTACGACAAGCATAGTCTGCACTGCATTCATTCATCAAGTGATGTAAAATATCTAAAAACAATTTATTGTAAAGAACATCCCAATATTCAACTGACCGGCATTCTGAAGTAGGATTGGTATTTTCGTAGTGCAACGTCCACCTGAAGTCCAGATAAGTCAATTTCTTCCGTGAAGTAGCTGAAACAAGAAATACGGATGTCAATGTTTGGACAAGGATGAATCCTAGTGAGCATGATGAGGTTAGCGTATCAGGGGGTGTTGGCTATAGATCGGCATGGGCATGGTACTCCTTGTCCGAGACACTGGTCAATACATCAATACCGACTTGACCAGGATTCTGATTGTAGGTCTGACAAGGAATCTTCCACAATCATGTCCATTTGTCAATTCATTTCAAAGATGCCGGTGATGAAGTTCCGCAAAGATTTGTGTCTTTGAAGTGAACGTTCATTCCACACTAAAATAGTTCTTAGTGCAGATGACATTGTGAAGACTGATGCAGCACTTCGGGAAGAGACACATGTTTCTGTACCGACAGCAACAACATTACCATTCCGCTTACTGATAGCACAATCTCATTTATAAAATCAGACTAAACCATTTGTAAAGAATTCAATGAGTTTCTGATAACCAACCCACACCACATGGAATTTAAATTGCCGAAATGCTGATTTGAACTTTGTTACATACGTAACATAACAAACATCAATTTATACCACGTTGTTCCATGGCTTAGATGTATGAGTGAGTGAGTTAGTATGGTTTTACGCCGCTTTTAGCAATATTCCAGCAATATCACGGCGGGGGACACCAGAAATGGGCTTCACACATTGTACCCATGTCGGGAATTGAACCTGGGTCTTCGGCGTGACGAGCGAACGCTTTAACCACCAGGCTACCCGACCGCCCCCTTAGACGTATGATTGACACATGGAAGAAATTGTTCCGAATTTTATTAATGCACCTCAAAACCCTTTGATAATACTTGACAGCATTCAACTAGATCCTCCCACAACTTAGTTTTGTCCTTAACCTTTTATGTATAATCAAAACCTTTTGAGAAAGTTGTGATGTACGTAGTTAATGCATTCGCCATGCATAGTCGTGGGCAATGTTTGAAGTTGATTAACTGCATGTTTCAATTATTCTCCCACCACGTGCTCTCCTTTACACTTCTCGCAACCAAACTACCAGCATTAAAGTCAACCATCTGTCTTCAAAACCAGGAATCAGAACATACATAACTTGTTTCGAAATGCTTGTCTTTGAAGTCTGCTCTGTCTTTGAAGCCAACTTTCACCCCTCCCTACAACCAGACTGCCTAATTATGGAAAACACTTTACATATGAAATGTGTCACCTTTGGAAACATTTTACCGAATGGAAACTTAAGCCAACAATTTCATAATTTATACAGCTCTAAAATACTTCCATATCAATCATTATTCTACAGTTTAATTAAACAATTAACACCAATTTGTGACCTTTTTCAGGGTAGTGTGTAGAAAAAATAACAACCGTTTATGCATTGCCAGTTCTGGTTTTATTAAAGAGTCTGAGACCTGGTCTTATTTTCTGTTTGGGTTCTCCCGATCAAGACTTAGCACCAAGGTTTAACAAGATCATCATTTTAAACTGCATTGTTTCCCCCAAAATTAAATCCTCTCAACCCAAATGACACCATTTGAGAATAAGATCTGTGATCCTGAACTTAATTCTTTTCAAACACGGCCAGAGTTAATTCCGTTCTGCAACCTTATGAGGATATTTGCTAAAGATTTGCACAAAGATAATTATCTGGGGAGGTCATTAAGAAAACTGAACCCCTATTTTTCAACGCTGTCAACTTGGTGAGTTGGTGTTTAGATTTGTTCACACACAGGAGGACAAAGACTGCGAAGCCCATGCAGCCAATGACAACCCTAACGAAGACCCAGCTTTGCGTTGGTGGCAGTGATCGGATCGGATCCACAACCCAGATTGGCCAGTTGGGCAGCAATCACTCCAGCAGGAGCCCCTACCACTTCCCAACGCTTCAATTTGATTACACCATTACCTAATCTCAAAAAAAACCATGATACACTGACTCCAGCTTAATTAAGATTAAGACACCTCCACTGCTACCCTAATGATATTACACTTTTTTCAAGGAGATTAAAGAAAGAGGAATTAAAAAAAATGTTCAGTTGCTAATCATTTTTGCTAATACAGACTGTCTGTCTTTCTTATACAGGAACCAATCTTGTAATGTTTGTTGGACAGAGTAAGACTTTCGATTACACCTGCTATGAATCACACTGTCCCCAAGACCCAATTGTCATTGTCAACCCTTAACACAGAATTTCTGACAGATTTTTAATATAGCTCTCAATTACATTGCACTAAATCTGCCCTCACGCTATGATCTTCTCAGTGTCATAAAACTCTAAACTTTGAGTGAATTATTCCTTTTTGAAACATTGAGTATTATCTGCGGTGGCCGACAAAAGAATCACATAACTTTTTTCAAATGATTTAAGTCATGTTCAAAATGCCAAATATTGTCACATTTAGGGGGTTGTTAATCAAAACCATAATCACAACCCTTGCTCAAATCCAATATTTCAAAATAACTCATTGATTTAATCATTAAGAACATGAACGCTGGAATATAACAGAGAAGTGGTTCTGACAAAGACCGAGCTGGAACTGTCACTGCCAAATCAAGACAATATCACCGCTTTGTGTTGTCAGTGTCAGCTTGCTGATTTCACCAGACGCCACGCCACGCCACGGAGGACGACGTCCATTCATATGCCATTTAGTCATTATTAATAATGTAGGTGTATGTTCATTATGGCTGAATCTGCCTTCTTAATTGTCTTTCTGTCAGAATAAGGATCAATTTTCACCTGGGAGCCAAACGTAATCGTACATGAGGTCCCTCGGTGCATCATAATTCCACCTAATCGCTTGTCAACAAAACACAGATAGTTCATGTCAGATGTTCAAAACCCGTCAGTTTAACGCAAAAAACTACAGATCATCTTCACATAAAATATGAAAACACGATCATAAAGCTGTCAACTCGGAGACCTAAATGTCTACTCAAATTAGATTATTTTTTCATTTGTCTCTTGATGCAACTTTGTCTCTAATCTTTATCTAGGGTAATATTGGTTGGGATAACCCTCATCTCTTGCGAGAAAAAAATAATCCACTTGAATAGAAGACTAAAACAATATTTCCGATTGTGAATCCAATATCCCAGCTACGAGTTCAAACAACGGTGCAACCTGGGGCTATCGGTAAGCCCACTGAGGCAAAAGGGCTTATTACGAAGATGGGATGAGGTTTTTATCAAAGGTCTTAACAAGTTGTCAGGCATTTCCAAGCGGGTGATTATTTCGGTACTGACTAAATGACTGTTGGATGAGTTAATAAATCATAGAATTCATGAATATTAATGATTGCTAGGGGGGTTTAGAGTTACACAAAGATGGTGGCCATGTTTGACCATGAAATAATTCGGGGACACATGTGATCTGCCAAAGATAATAATAGAAGAAACACATACACGATACTGAAATGAATTTAGGATCAGGTTCATTTAAATATTAATATAGTCACATGCAGCACAATAATATTCATAAACACTTCCATTTCAAAAGTTGGTCAGAAAACTACTTTTAACCATAATTTTAAAATAATCATACATTTTTCATAACCTTAACATTTGATAAATAGAATATCACACTGACAATTAATAATTTCCTCATCTGATGTCGCAATCAAAAGATAAGTTGAATACGATTGTCTCCGTCGATCAGATTTGGTTTCATATAAACACTTCAAGCGAAAGTGTTACTTCCTTGCTGTATATGATATTCACAAGGAAGTGAATAATAGTGACACATCACACTCACCACTGAGATTCTAATCAACTTAATTGTTCATATGAATTATGAAAGTAACAAACGTCCTCGCTGATCTTTAGATCCAAAGTTGACGTACAAATCAACAGCTAACATCACAATTAAGGCCAACGAGCCAAAATCCAGTTGCACTGACATTGATCTTTAACTCCATACATGCGATTGTTTAATAACAAGCCAGAAAAGGTCAACCACTTTAGGTGAAATATTTCAGTGATAAATCTACAACAGTGAGGTGATTTCATTTTTTGAAATGGGTTTGACCTCAGTTAATAACATCAAAGCCTGGTAGATGAGACATGAGTGAAACATCGCCCACTTTGGTCCCGGGAACAGTGTTCTCATTTACAAGAACGGCGTCCGACTTGAGCCCGCAATCAATACCGCTACTTTACGACTACAATTACAATTGCAGGACCATCGGTGAAGAAAGTCACACATTGTAACCTGTCCACTTAACTTCTAGTGCTACAGAATTGTTTAAAACGTGAAAAGGAAAATATATTATTTTGCCTTTTGAGAAAACAAATTTCAATTCCAGAATCTCTGTAATATCTTTTTTTCATGAACTGAATATCAGTATTGTTAACTTAAATGTTGGCACAGAAACATGTTATGTTAGGGCTCTGTTTCACAAAACCCTCTTAGCACTAAGATGATCATAACTCCTATACTTAAGCATTGACTTACGTACCCGTAAAATCACTTTGAGGAACAGGCCCTGAATTATCATTTTATTTGAAGTGGATGTTAAAATAACATAAAATTTGTAAACAATATTTTTTCAATTTACAAAATTGATGTCAAAATTAATCAAGAAAGAACATGTAACAAAAAAGAGTACAATGAAACAAAGCTTTAATACATTTTTCAAGTTTCAAACACTGTGCAGATTCACCAAGATGAATACCAGATCATACTGACGCCCCTGCAGTCATATGCATGTGATTGACAACTAACAGGCAATTTGCGTGATTCAGGCAGAAAATCAGTGGTCCAACTCCAGCAGCCCTGCTAAATATCGTCATAAGAGGCTAACAGCTTCAGGGTATCTATGATGGCAAACAACGTGAGCAGTCAACTGGTCCTACGTCATACAACCTAGCATTTGGCCAAAGAACCTGGTCCAGTATCAGCACGCATGATCTGTTGCGTCAGTCGCATTGCCAATATACCTCACTCACCCATCTTTGTCAGAGACCTCTAACAGTTATCTCCAACATGAGAGTGTGCTGGTGTATTTGCTCGAACACTTTGTTATGAT